GATGAAAAATTGAGTTTTACTAGTCATATCAGTGATCTATGCTCTAAGGCCAGTCAAAAAGTAGGGGTCCTAGTGCGGCTACGCAATTTGATACCCTGTAATGCTAAACTATCACTTTACAGGTCTTCAATTCTGCCCCATCTAACCTACTGTCATTTAGTATGGCACTTTTGTAATGCATCGGATCGGAGAAAGCTTGAGCGGATTCAGGAGCGAGCACTTAGGGCGGTGTACAAAACTAGATCAGCGTCCTATCAAGAACTGCTAAGTCGCGCCAAACTACCGACGTTGAACAATCGGCGCCTACAAGACATTGCCACTTTGATGTTTAAAGTTAAGCACAGTCTCGTACCTGAGAATATTTCTGACTTATTTAATATAAAGAACACTCAATATAATTTACGGAACAGTGACTTTGAACTGCCAAGATTCGAAACTGTAAGATTTGGTAGGAATTCTATTAAATATATGGGACCTCTCATCTGGTCGAAGTTACCAAGACACCTAAGAACGATAGAAACTCTAAATTCGTTCAAGAAGAACATAAGAAAAGTCGACCTTTCAACTCTCGTTGAAATTTAAAACTTAACTAAATAACTTTATAATCTTTTTAATTATCTACTGTAAATAACTATCATCTACATATGTAAATGTATTTGACTTTTAAATTTTTTTAGTGTCCCCCATTAGCTTATATCTAAAAACATAGACACTTAAATAAAGTTTTTCATTCATTCATTCATTCTATTCTACTAAAGTTATCAACAATGTTAAGTATACAGTAAATGGTTTGAACCCTGGGGTAACGTGTGACAGTGTAGTGCGATCGTGCTTGGGACTCTGCGCAATGCTTAACCTACAGCACTAACTACTTTCAACGACTGGCTCTGGAAATCTAGTTAACTAACTTAAAAAAAAAAAAAAATCCCTCAAAAGGTATCAACTACTACCGGCACCGAACAAACGATTTATTCACGACATTAACATTACAAACGAACCGAACAGAACGACCTAACTATGCCTAACTTTACCAACGGATCAAAACAGACCGATCACGATCGACTTACGCCTCTTGAGTCTTACAGCCAAACTGACCAATCACTTTATACAAACTGGACTAGGAACATTGACTAACAACTATTCACTTGACTGTGATGATGACTTCACAGGTTGTTGAAACGTCAGTCACCACCACCGATTACAGTCCTTCTCAGGACGATCATGCTACACTTTCACAAATATTTAGTATAAAACTATTCACAGATCAATAATGCAAATCAAATTTTTCTCTACAAATTTTACAATCAAAATATGTGTAAGCGAGTCACAATTATAACTTATTTCTGACAAACCTCACATTAACCCTTTTAACCCCCAGAAGTGATTAACATGTAACTTTTCCTTCTAATATCCATACATTATCCTGTAAACAGGTAATGAGAATACACAAACTTATCAGGTAGAAGTTGTCTTCATCAAACAAGGAATTCTCTTAACTACTATACGAGGAAATGTGTAGAGCCTAGAAGAGAGAATTAACAATCAGATCTTGGAAGTTAAAGGGCAAAGTTTTTAAAAAACCAAAAAGTAAATGTATTCAGTGCGAGATCTATCAAGGGTCTTGAGGACCATCCATGAAACTCTAAACAAAAATTAATGCGCTAAAATATTGCTCACCAAGATTAGTTTTATAAGTGACTCTCCCTTCCTTGAACCACAGGAACAGGACTAGAAACCTCAAACAACCTCTTTTTCTAAACTGTCAAGGTCATATGCAGGGGCGCATCCAGGATTTTTTTTGAGGAGGGGGTGCACCACTAAAGAATGGTGTAACTGACTGGTGACCGGACATAAACAAATTGTAATAGCAAATACAAAGAAGGCTTTTGCCTAGGCAATAAAGCAGAATACCACTTGTATTAGAAAGCTGCGGGTCATCTCTGTGGGGGGGGGGGAGTGCCAACCCCCTGCACCCTCCCCCTAGATCTGCCCCTGATATGAGAGAAAGGAAGTCGCTATGTTCCTTTTCTTCCTACAGGTTAGGCTATGGAGGGGCTAATTATAAAGGTGGAGTTAAAGAACTAGCCTGTATTTCATCTCATTCTTTTAGTTAGGATGTTTATGGTACTAAGCAAAACATGGATATAAGAGCACTTCCATTGATTTTAAAAAATCAAAAAAGGAAAGTCCAGAAATCTCCACATTTTTCTAGGCATGATCATAGCAAAATCCAGCAACTGGCAATTATCATTTACAATGACATGATCAAGGAAGTTATGTTACAATTCAGTCCAAAATTTGAAATCTCAGCTACAAGCAAGGTTTAAGTGTACAAAAGAAAATGTTAGTACCAACCTACAAATAATATAAAATTGTAGAGACCTTCTCTCCCAAAAGAATCATTCTAATAAATGTTCCTTGGAAATGCAATGCTCTTATAAAACTATCATGGAAGTGGCACTTCTTCTAAGCATCTTAATTGCTCTTGGGAAAAAGCTCTTAAAACTTAATTTGACAACAACATGACAGAATGGTGGTCAGATTTTCTCTAAAACAACACAACTCTCTGTGCAGAACACTATCATATGGACAGAAATATTTCTACTGTTATGAAGATCACTGCACTAAATCAACAAAAGAGACACCTTACATATTTTCACCAANGGACGGCGGGAACATATTATGGCAGGTATTGGGTGTGGTTATGAGTTTCATTCGAGCACAGAAAAGTTTGGCTTGAGATGTCAAAGTAAATTGTAGAAAGGGCTACCATTTTATGACCTTTTGATGGTTTTTGCTGTGAAGGAATGATATAACTGATTTATTGCAATCTGTCTAAGTTAAGAGTTTATGACCAATCTAAACCACTGATCATAAATCTTAACCAAACTTCTTTTGAGTAAATGCATTGTAAACTTAAGGATATCAAGAAAGGGAATGTTTCAAAGTTTATTAGGCTCTTTTCAAGACTTTTTTAAAGGACCACGTGTTTGAAAATTAATGTCAAGAGCTTATGAGACTGGTCTCATTAAAAAAGTAGGTTCAGAGTATTGGAACAAGGAATATTGAGATAGTGGGAGATAAAATCCACACACGGAAATTACAGCAATTTATCCCTCCTGGTGACATTTGAATCGACAACAATTGAGACTGGAGCTTTGTGGTTGCATGCTGCCCCAGTAAAATGAACAGCAAACTTTATTCTGAAGCTAGCAACTGCTAAATTTCACCATTGATCTGTCAAACATAATAAGAGTTATGAGTGGTACATATCATTAAAAGGAGTTAAATACGTAACCACGTGTAAGGCAAAGTTTAGGAAATAACTGACAGACTTCCATAACATCTCCAAAGGGTCTTTTGTCAAGGACAAAATTGTTGATAAAGAAGATGTTATGGATGTTCTCGTCCTCCATTTGGACAGATCAGTCTGTTTTGCTCCTGGGATTCCAGCTATTCAACGTTGGGTGCACCTTGCCGACCAGTTTAAGGTACCAGACGATGTTAAGAGTCAATGTGCAGATTTCTCCGGAAAGTTGAGCTCAAGTGAAGCCTTGTTTGAGCACTTATGTGCTGTACAGGACGCCCTCTCAGTTGGAGAGATTAAAAAAAAGCTCAAGAAACTAGGAAGAAATGATGTTGTTGCGGAGTTGGAGAAAAACAGCAAGCTCACAGGTAATCACTTGTCACCCCTCGAAACACATGTCAGTTATTTCGTGTAACATGAGACATTTTAAATTGACTTATGTAGTTTACCATCTACTCAAATTTGGTAATTAAACTCTGGACGTAAAAATATTACGCAGCGGCTCATCTTTGTATGCTTGCGATATCCTGAATCACGTTATGTAAATGTGGAGGGTTTTTCGAGCTATTAAAACGAAACAAAAGTCTGTATCATCTGAAGAATATTTTTCACAATTAAGAGGGTCTCAATGGGGTGTTGGCTTTCACGGCTAATGGTTAAAATTTCAGTCAATTTACGGCTAACATAATCCCACTGTGGTCCCCTGAAAAATTTTTACGGACAATTTTTAGCTAACGGTTAAAATTTGTCAATTTTTACGCCTAACAGCTAATTTTTTTGGCCGTTTTATGGCTATTGGTTAGCCCCTTTGAGACCCTCAATTAACCCACGCAACCAAATGCATTAATTATATAACCATAACCAAAAAAATATGGTAATCATGATTTTCAATCCTGTTTCTTTAGACAAAAGTACAGTCACTGACCTTTATGAAAAGCATCCTGAAACCATGTGCAGTATATGCATAAAACTTGACAACAAGCATAGCATAAAAAATTGGTACCATTTGGGTATTGAAATCGGTATCAAGGCTGGCACCCTAAGAAGACTAAGGGACCCCTCTGGAGACAGTCCAAGCGAGGTGGTCCTGAAAATGATCCAAACAAGAAAACCGCGTCTTCCGTTGAAGAAACTGGCTGAGGTTATCAACTTGCCAGGCGTAACTAATGCATTGGCTGGTTTTCCAGGTAGTACATGATAACTCATAATTTGTAAGCCACTCTATCTGAAAAGTTACACCCACTCTTCTTCTTCGTCAATGGTAACATGTGAAGCAGACGCTCTTGTGACGTTTATAATTGTCCTCGCAAACTCTACCTTCTTTGTTCGCAGTATTAATGTTGCTTACTCAAGATTTGTATTCTTTGACCAAGATGCCCAAACAGCGTGTGTAAACTTAGTTGTTTTGAGTTACATTTTGTTTCTTCCTTATGTATTTAACGCAGATAACAGCACTATCGAAACCTTACTTGGTAACATGGACGCCATGGAAAACGTAACGACATTGATGGACCCTGATGGAAAGTGGCAACGCGTCGGTCAGCATTATAACATCGACCAGAGAATCCTTGATAACTTAAAGCCCGGTGATGTCCAGAGTCCCACCAAAACCGTGCTAGAATACGTTGTCAAGAGGGAACCAACTACAACCATGGAGACCTTCCTGACGTCTCTAAAAAACATGAGACGTTTCGATGTTATAGAGGACCTCAAGGAGTTTTTCTATGGTAAGATTATTACTCTTTCAAGTTTACTGACATGTATAACTAAAAGCGCTTTGTCATATTACTGCCTCCCGCCAATCAGATTAAAAAAATCAGTATAAAAAACAATGAAGGGGTTAAGTTTCTTAAGAAGCTGTGGTGCTACGTCGGTGAGAAAGTATGGTGAGATTCTGAAGGCGATGCTTCGACAATAGCCCTTCAGAGCGCTCTGATGAAGGGCTAACATCTGAAACGTCAGCTTCGCAATCTATTCGGTGGCCAGTTTACATTCTCAACCCTAAGCCGGGATAAACACCACAACAGACAGAGGCTTGTTTTTGGGACCAGACAGTTTATTAAATGTATATATCCTACGTACATAAAACACTAGTTTATAACATCAAAGGTATTCGATGGATACTAATAAGCTAGACTTAAGCTTTTTGCTTGCTTGATTTTTAATCAGACGTGTACAGATACTGTTGATGCTGGCGCATTAGATTACAGCGGCATTTAGTTTAAGTTTTCGTTTCCAGTCTTGGCTCGGACAAGACACACGTTTTTACTGTTGGCCGCAAGGTTGTATGTAGGCCAACCTGAATGAATTTCGAAATAGTATCAACGACGGTTACTGATACCAAAGCGGTAATATACTGAAATAATTTCGCTATTTCAGCCATTGGCTCTATTTAGGTCTTCTGACTTGCATGCTGAAGTAATTGCTCAATCTTAAGGAAGGACTAATATGTAAACTGCCTGTACCCAGTCCAGACCTCTCAGTCATCGGTGTCTAGATTCATATGAATAGCGATAAATATTCACATTAAAGCAATTTATCTTGTAACATCAAAAAGAGCCCAGGGACTCGAAAAATGCAACTGACGACTGAGACTCAACTCATTCGTTCACATTTTAGGCCTGGGGCGGATCCGGGGGTGTTCGGGTAGTTCGGTCGAATCCCCCTTAAATTTTCCCTCAGTACGCTGGAAATCATGTTTCCGAAGACCTAATTTTCAAAATCTCGGACCCCTCCGGAAGGGGACAATTCTCAGAAGCCCTCTTGACTAAATCCTCGATCCGCCCCAGTAGGTATAAATTAAAATAGAAATCATTGCCCGGCAATGCAGGCTAACTATGTCTTGCAAAAGGCATTCTTACTATGTTAATGTACAATAAGGTGTGCTATGTTGCTTACGTCTTGAACTTACCAGATTTAGAGTATGATATTAACACTCTTTTCTGTCGTAGTTAGTTAGATGAAAATGATATTACAGATCTGCATGAATACTGAGGCAGTGCAGATAGGAATGTGAAAAACGAGCGATAAGTACACCCCGTTAATAAAATGTTGTTTTTGTATTATTACTTTCAGGTGATGACATCGATAGAATCCTGCGGGCGGGCGGATCAGGGCCTTCGTAAATTGGCAGAGATCAGTGGAACTGGTGGCATTTTAAATTCAGTGCAACAATTGAGAAGGCAGTGGTTTTTAAAACAATCAAGTTCTACTTTCCGTATACAGACATTATTTTTACTATAATAGTAGATCGTATAATGGACTGTAAGGATCAAGTAGAGAATACTCACCGTTCAGCCACTAATCAAACCTCAACATTGGCTCGATTACCAGCCGCTGTTCGGGAACCGGAGCCCGCGCTCCTCTCCGAATAGTCTCTTCTCGGGGAGGGACGAAAAAGACCGGACCCGAGAGAGCGGCGGAAATCGATTCTACCCTCAATGGAATGTTTGCCAAAACAAACAATTACGGTCATTACTCTGAATATTAACTTCTGCATAGGCATGTTAGGGTTTACAAGATCATGAGAACATTAAGAAGCTAATCATAATTTTTGGCACAAACTGTGTCCTCACTGATTTGGATTTTAAATTATATCAATATCACTGAGTTATTATTATATTAATAGAATTATATATAAATTTCTAAGAGATTTAATCCTCTTCTACTCTATCAAAATTTTTTACATATTTCTAAAAATTCCCTTTTGTCGGCCGTTATTCTAAAATTGCGCGGTTTAATTTAAGGCAACTACTAAAAGATTATGGCAAATCTGATTTAAATATTAAGGAATTTTTTTTTTCTTTACTTTTAAGGTTAGAAACATGTTGGGCGTGAAAGATTGCTTAGCACAGGGTCTATGTTCGCATGTAATTTACAAATACGTACGTAAAAAGGTAAAGCCTACCTACGAGCCATGTGGCCCGTCGGGCAGGCGCTTAATTCCGCTTTCCGTGGCATGAAGCGACTAGGAGTAATTATACCCCCCCTCATGGAATGGTAGTCCATCGCAGGGTTACCCTCAGTATTAAATTCGCCAGTACCCATTTAACTCTCTTGGGTGAAGAGAGGTACTGTGAGGCTAAAGTGTCTTGCCTAAGAACCCAACACAATGTCCCCGGCCAGGGCTTGAACCCGGACTACGCGATGCGTGGTCGAGCGCACTAACCATGAGGCCAACGCGCCTCTAAGTACGTATGTGTGTCTGTGTAATACCTGCTTCATGGGTGAGACCATTCGCCTCAATTATACAATCTTGAGCAACATGTGTTGAACAAGGCTTTGCATGTGTACCAGCATTGGCAATCTTCCAAGGCACGTGATCGCTCACACTTTGCAAAATGTTTCACGAATTTGGAATTAAACGCCTCAATATTTTCTATACTGCTAAGCAGGGTGCTTTTCACAAAAGCTGGTGACTATACACTTTGATTTGTCTCTTTCCAATTAATTTTTGATAACATATATTTATACCGCGCAAATTCAACTATGCAGTTTTCAAATGCGCCTGGTTTTGAACTATTATTATCGTTATCGTTTATTCAGTTTTCAATTTTTTTTTTTTGTTTTACGTTTATATGACTACCTCTAGTAGTCTTTATTTTTTGGCCTTTTTTTCTGGTCGGTTGCATCATAATACCATAATACTCTTCTGCATTTCCAATGTATTTCAATCATATAGTTTCCTTGTCTGTGTAGCGTCATCTTCCGCCTTAATCTTATAACGCATTAGTAAAATGAGAATCAAATTGTACAACGACCATTTGCAACCAAAGATGACATATGGAAGAGTGGAAAATGTTTTCCAAACTTAAGAATGTTATAGGAAATAATGTTCATTATGGGTTTTTTGGATAAATCAGCGGTTAATCGTATGCATCATCTGACTCATCCTCAGTCTTCTCAATAAACCTTCAAGAAGCGTGCTGCACGGGGCGAGGTGGGAGCGCAGGGTGAGACGAGTGGGCTCGTACCATTCCAATTTGCGCCGCGCCAGATGTTGAATGAAAACGAACGGGGACGAGTCAGTTGCCTCACGATGTAAGAGGTAGGCTAATCAATCGTGTCTTGCATTCAATCGTACGATCAGTAAAGGATATTATTATCCAACTGTGCTTCGTAGCGTACAAATAACGCGCGAAACGAGTACAAATTAAATATCACGCGATATTTGTACTCAAGAAATATCCACGAAATTCGCCCGCACTGAAATAACAATTTGGAGTGTTGGATACTAAATCCTTTTTAAACGTTTTGTTTTGTAATATCACTGGGTACTACTAATCGTTGTTTGTATTATGACGAGCCCATAGGGCGAGTCAAAATACGACATAACTCGTAAACATACTCAGCGGTACTACACAACAAAATGTCCAATAAGATAAATCTATCAAAGTAACATACCCTCTACTTAATGTCTAGTTACCAAATAATGATTATCACTACTGCGAACAGAAACCGGCCAAAACAGGGGTTAAGAGTGTTGGTGCTCTTTTCGACCCACCTTCAATAGGAGTCCTCCTACTAGAAAACATGGGCATGTTACGCATGCAGGAGTTATTTTTTTGGATGTGTGGGTTGAAATGGGACACTAAGTAACTGATGCTGGTGTCTGAATGATTGTTGGCAATAATAAACTGCATTGATACCACGCTTCCTGCATTCCCCTCCACGGTGCTAATTTGAACTCGTCACGCAACGCTCTCTCTCCAACGTTACGTGACGAGGCCAAACAACGACCTGCACTAAGACTATAACAACGCTTACTGCCGCCTCTTCGTTAAAGAAAAAGTCGTAATTTTTATTCTGGCCGTAAAGGGCCAGAATCAGTAGTTTCGTTCGGTTTTTCCTGTGCAGGAAAATGCACAATAGGGGTTACGTAACACTTTTTAATTAGCGTAAAGCAATGTGGTGGACATAGCCTGGGAACGAGGTTGAACTTTGGCCGCGAGTGTCAGTCAGGCTTGAAGTGCCAAGCTTGTTACAGTTTATGCTCATCTTTCGAGTGAACTTAAATGTATTTACTTGAATCACAAACCGAATACTGTTAATCACTTCTATTGTTAACGTACTGATGAAAACAACAAGCCTTGGAAAGAGTAAGAGTTCATTGTCTGATTATTTAAACTCGATTGATGGATACAATTATCTTATGTAAAAAGGCTGACAGTTTCTAAAAAAACTGTTTGGGGCTGCGTCGGTGGGGGTAACGAAATAATTTGGACATATCAACAAAGTTGAAATGGTAAATTGGCCACCGTAACGATTACAAAAACTGACGTTTCGAGCGTTAGCCCGACAAAGGGCTTTCGCTCCGACGAAGGGCTAACCCTCGAAACGTCAGCTTTTGTAATCGTTAAGGTGGCCAATTTACCATTTCAACTTTGTTGATTTATCCAAACTATCTTATGTAAACATTGGCGATTGGATCAATCAGTAGATTGATATAGCAGACAAAACGACTATACTTTTCTGACAAAAAACTTGAGGTCCATAAAATTCTTTCTGTGGTATATCGTTCCGAGGCAAAAAAAAACTCCAGAGGTTTGTCATTAGATGTAAGCAGGAGAAATTCTTGTAAACAAAGTCATCCCGTTAAAATGAAAATTTTATTGAACCCCCGCATTTCCTATAACGATTTTAGTATTTCCAAATTGTCATGGATGTCATCAACTTTTTCCAAAGTGTTTATCTCCATAACTCTCCGCTAAACCGCAAATCCTGCGAGAATATAGGCTCCGCGTAACCTCTTGTTCAATAACAGATAGTTGCCTCAAAATATTCTTCCATAAATTTGCAGTTGTAAGCTCTATTTTATCCCTAACAGCCTCTGGAAAAAGATATTTCACGGTCTCCGTTCTTTGAACGAGTATAAATAGATTGAACGAAGAGAAAAATGTCATTTTTCAAAGCATAACAACGTGGGCTCCTTAATCAATGGGTTGTTGCCTGTCTGGACTTTGCCTGGTGCGTGCGAAATACGGGGAAATGACAAAACGCAAAGCCCTACTCCAGGGAGTACCCTATGGAGTACCCCTAAAAGTCATGTATTGGTCAAATAAAATATTTTATGAACATGGTGAATCGTTTAGATGTACATATCCTAAAATATATTGAGCTTACCAGCTCTCCGAATGTCACAGTTCGATACAATCCAGTTTTTTGGGGGACAGTTGACTAGGGCTCTCA